TTGTTCCAGCTCTTCAACCGTTGAGTTTATCGCATCGAAATCATCGGGGATCATGAAGGTTCGAGGTATCATATAATCATCATCCTCGAAGGTTTCCCATTCCTCCAATCAGGCTGAGGCCGGTGACTATGGTTGCTATGTGACTTCTTGGTCCTTGAGGGATATCGATCCCACCAACGATCATATGAATTACGTGTTGTGGCTCTTCCTGCTCGTTCTGCCTGTTCGAATCTCTATTTTTGAAGTGGTTCTTAGCCCGATCACTTAAATATTCTCGAAGGTGACCCTCGTTGAATAGATGGGCTATATCCTCCCTTAGTTGTCTGCATTCTCCGGTTCTATGACCATGGGTACCATGGTATTTGCACATTTGATTAGGGTTCCTTTGAGCTGGATTGGTCTGTAAGGGTCTGGTCCATCAAGTATCCTTAATCCGACTGATGGTTCATAGAATACCTCATGCATCGACGCTGAAGTTGTATTATGACAATCAAGGTGCTTCTTTGGACCTGGCATCCCTATCGAAACCACTTTTGTTCATAAGACCCCGGGAACTCTGTCCCCGATCATTCCTTCTATCATCCCGTGCGGGGTTGCATCCGGGCCCATTATTTCTCCGATCTCCATTGTATGGCTGGTATCTATCTCTATTTGATCGTGGTTCCAGATCGATGTCCCTTTTAATTCTGTCCACGGGCCTGCTGGGTTAAATCGAACCAATTGGAGTTCCTAGTTGATCATATTCGACCCTAATCTTCGACTGATATCGATTGTGTACATTGGCCCAAGTGACAGCAGTATATTCGATCAAATTTTTCTTCAACTGTTGTGAGTCTATGGAGCTCCGAGTGTTGAGACCTTGTGTAAAAGCTTGAACAGCCCAGTCATCGGTGACTGGAGGCAAATCCATTCTCTCCGGTTGGAACCGAGATACAAATTCCCTGAGCATCTCGTTATCCTTCTGTCTTACCTTGAAGAGGTCCGATTTCCTTGTTGCAACTTTAATGGCTCCGGCGTAGGCTTTCATAAAAGAATCTGTGAGCATAGCAAACGAATCAATAGAGTTGGGTGGTAAGTTATGATAGCATATCATGGCACCCTTCTATAAAGTTTCTCCAAATTTCTTCAATCAGATAGATTCAATCTCATCATCTTCTAAGTCATTCCCCTTTATTGTGCATGTGTAACAACTTCCTCTGATGTTTCAAGCTCAATTATGCTTGGTGCTCGATTCTAATTTTGGAGTTGCGCTATCACAGCTTGTTGAGTCTACAACATTTCGAATATCATTCGAAGGCTAATTTGGTCTTCTCCGCCACTCTGTTCGTTCTGATCAGCTTCTCGGGTATCTCTGCGGTCACTATTTCCAAGGTCGATGCCCAGATTTGCAGTTAGGGCGACGTGCGAACTGACATCGACGGGGTTTGCGATTGGTACTCCCTCGTGAACAGCTTGAGGCACTTCGATCCCTGGGGCGGCTACATATCGTTTTCTCTATGGAAACCGAGGTCGTCATCGGCGTGAGTGGGTACTGCTTGCGAGTTAGACATATTGATCCTGAAATCAAAAACACCCACAAGAACAAGCGTAAAGTAGTGTGTATTACGAGAATTAATACCAGACAATCACTATTATCCTTAGCCGCACGGTGGGCACCAAACTGTTTACCCTTAAAATTTGATAACGATTAAACTTATAATGTGGTTTAAGAACACGTGATTTCACCTAATACCAATTGATAAATGTAAAGAGTAATAATAGAAATTAATAGTAATATAAAGCAAACCAGTGTTTGAATGGAATTCAACCCTCGAGCTTGAATGCCCTCGAGCTAATTTGTGCAAGAACAATTAAAATATAACAAGCTGATGAACAATGAACAAGAATATGAACTATAGAAAAGGTGTTATATTGCTTTGATATCTTAGAGTGTGAGGTGCTTACAAAATTATTAGGACCCTGTTTATATAGTAGAGGAATCCTATCTATGGTATAATTCTAATTACAGAAGCAAACCCTATGATTAGCCTAAACAACTGCCTTTGATTTGATCCGTTCCGAGATTCCCGCCATGATCTTCGATCAGTCACGGATATCTCGCTTTCCTGTTATTGTGCTTTGCTCGAAGTTTGCTCTGTTTGGTCTCGATCGCTGTCGGCCTCGATCTCGGGCACCTCGATTATCGAACTCGGTACCTTGTCTTCGTCACTTTGATCTGCTCCACTACGAGGCTAACCCTGAATGCAACTTCCTGGCCACGATCAATAGTAAAATTGGGTAAGCCCGATTTTAACAGTATACACAGATTCTTCTGTTTTCAGTGATTTGTTTAAAAAGAAATAAAACATCTATTGTGTATTTGGTGGAAAAAGTTTTGCAATATCCCCTCATTCTGTGAAATATTTTAGTAATTTCTTATTATTGTTTACATGTTCAATTGAGTGAAGACGCGAAAGTGACGCATATTCTTTTTTCTTCTCAATTTCTACTTTGAATATTATTGTTTGCATATTTTTTTCCCTTGTCCTTTAATATAAACATGGAAATATTAGTTAAAACTAAGTTGTTCTTTATTTAATAGAACCCTTCATAAACAATAACTTCCCTCGTGTATTATTTACATGAAGAGACCTACCAATACAGAGTGAGATCAAGAATTTCCATACTAGCTTCCCAACCGAAGTTCCAACCATTTACTCCGTAGCTTTTTATTTTTGGGAGAAGGGTCAAAATTGCCCCTCTATTATTGTTTATTGGTTACTTGTGCTACCCGTTACACTTTTCGACCATTTTCGTCCCTGCCGTTAATGAAGTTTGAAAAAATACCCCTAACCCTAACGTTTTGACACTGTGGCAGCTGACCACATCAATTTTATCCATATCAGTTGCCATGTCAGCTGCCAAGTCATTTGAACCCGTCGTCTCTCATCGGAGGCTGTCACTGGCATCTGCGTTTTCATGAACTCTCAACCACCAAATTGCTTATCTTTTACATGGATTAGTGCACCATTATCTGACTTGTTGAACTACAATCCCCTTGTTTTTTTTTTGCAGTCCAAAATTTTGACAGAGAGCTCCCATATCGTCACCAACTGACCTGAGAATTTAACTACGACCCCTCAACAATCATCAAAACAAAACCCCATTACTCAATTAAACCAAACAACAACCAGATCAAAAAGCCCATTAATGTTTTCAAGCTTCACCAAAAAACCCTCCAATGGAGTTTTTAGCTCCTTCTCTAACGTTTCAAGTAATCAAGTAGTTCACATTCAGGATTTTTAGCTATGAAACGCTGCCAGCTCTTCAAAATTTCAGATCCAACCTCTTCTTCTTTATACATCGGCATCTTCAAATCGACAAAACCCAAAAGCTCAATCGGCCTTCAATGGCGTTTTCAGACCTTCTACGGTATTTAAAATCACATTTTAAATTTAAAACTACAACATCCATACTAATATATAGTATATTTCTGTATATAATATCTCAAGCCCAATCCATCACCTTAGAATCCATTTGCTACAGTCACATCCTCCTATTAAAAAATACAAATTTTCACCATTAAAAGACCATAAAGATCAAAACTTATCTTATATTTTTGGAAAAAACAAAAGATTTTAACTTTGTTGAAAATAAAAAAGCAGAACATATAACAAAAGTTCAATTTTGGACTTACCATCTGTGAAAACAAGCTCTTTTTTCTGTTTCTTTAGTTAAGCACTTGCGGCCTTAAGAGTAAATCGATTCTTTGTTTGGTGTTTTTAAATGATCATAGAGTGCCAGGAGCAGTGGTTTTTGGATGGGGATAATGGCTATTGGTAAAGTTGGAAGGCGAGGGAGTGTGAGGAAGAAGAAGATGATAATATTTTAATAAGAAAAGGGGTGGGTTAATTAATGACTTGGCAGCTGACATGGCAGCTGACATGGATAAACTTGATGTGGTCAGCTGCCACAATGTCAAAACGTTAGGGTTAGGGGTATTTTTTCAAACTTCATTAACGGTAGGGACGAAAATGGCCGAAAAGTGTAACGGGTGGCACAAGTAACCAATAAACAATAGCAGAGGGACAATTTTGACCCTTTTCCCTTTATTTTTTGTTATTTTAACAATTTTGGTGTTCCTCGTTCTCCCGTTAGTTAAAGCAAGCAAGAAACTTCCTAGTCTCCATACAAAGCAAAAGTTGCTTGACCTGTAATTTACTAGATACGCGTATGTACAGAAAAAATCCTTGTACAACAAAAGGGCATTCTGAAGATCTTTTATTGTTACTTAAGGCAGTCACTTGTCCACGTGGCCTGGAGCTTTCGTTTTTGACAATAATTTGCTGCTGACTTTCAGAACAAACATGGAAAGAGGAAGGTTCAATGGGACAATCATACGCAACTCCAAAAGCGAATAGGGGCAACAAAAAAGTTGGAAATTTTTTTGTACAACATTGATTGTTGTCACGTTCTTATGATCAGAGGGTTGCGCGTGTTCTTTCTAAGGCACAGGGCTCGAAGTCACAAGCTAGACTAGAATTTCTTTTATTTTGTACCTCACGCAAACTAATTTTAGTTGTGCGAGGCCTCTTTTTTGTCTCACATCGTTCCGGAATTTTGTGGACCCAAATATGTAAGATATGAATCCACAAATGTATGAGATAAAAAAACACTTTAGTTGCGTGAGGCACACCATAAAATCACTCGACTAGACTATCAGAATCAACGATGGTTTCCAACTAAATGTGAAAGACTTAAGTGACCGCATGCATATGGACTCGACTATATGAATCGTCACAAACCAAATAAGTGGGACTCGACTATATGAATCGTCACAAACCATGTTTCTCTACTTAAACTCCTCTCATGAGCATGCAAATGTAGTCCCAAAAGCACCAGTAGGTCAAAAGGATTTTAGCCTGAAAACAGATGCAGCAATTTCATTTCAAAATTCAAAGCTTGAAATCAGATTGGGAAATCAACACATTTGCAAGATGCATTGAAGAAAAGAGGAAAACTAAGAAAAACAACACTTGCACCTTTTATTTTAAAAAAAAAAAAAAAACAGAAAAACACTTATACTTGAGAGACATTTACACAGACGAAACATATAAGAGTCAGGAGACTGGAGGAACCAAAAATACATCTACTAGATAATGCCGAAATTGAAAGTGTATTATATAATCAAGGTAACTGCTCTTGCTGAAGTAGTTGCGGTGGACATAGCAGTTGCTGCTGCTCCTGCTCCGAGAGTTGTTGCAGGTTATCTGAATGTTGTTGTTGCTGAAGCTGACTATTTGATTGCTCATCCAGCTGCTGTTCGGACTGTTGAGGTGGTGGTTCTAATTGCCACGCCCAAACAATATCCTGTAAACCAGGCCTCAGGCCTTCATTTAAAATTTTCTGATATTCCAATGTATCTCCGTTGGACTTCTTGACCTCCACCAAATAAAAAGCTGGAGTTACCTCAAAGATCTCCGTGTCAATCGATAAAATCCCCTTTCTTCCTTCTTTTGAACCTTCAAACCTTAACAATCCAGCATCCCTTTTGCTGACTTTTAGATTCAGGCGCTTTGCGACATCTTCCAGCTTAGATATGATGACTGATGCAGGTTTGCAGGATGTGAATCTAGCTTCTTTCTTTAAAGGACTATCCTCAAATAATCTCGATAAATCAAAGCCAGCAGAAAGGGAAATGATATCAAATGCATTCAAGTTTGACAGCGTGGCCACGTTTTGCTTGTTCTCAGAGGAACCAGCAGCCGACTCTGTACATGCTGAAGCCAGATCCTTCCTTTCAGTGTCTGCTTTGACAGATTTAGAAGCTATTCCCCTCTTGGACCAGGAACTTTCTTTAATTTTGGCAATTGAAATTCTAGTATGTGGATTGGGATCCAACATTCTCACAAGTAGCCGCCGCACTTCAGGGGGGAACCAACTGGGACATTTGAACTCAGATTTGCCAATTTTCCTATACATCTCCATCAAATTCGAGTCATGAAATGGAAGATAACCAGCCAACAACACATATAGGATCACCCCACATGACCAGATATCAGCTTTAGCCCCATCATACCCTTTTCTATTGATCACCTCAGGAGCAACATAGGCTGGAGTCCCACAGGTAGTGTGGAGGAGTCCATCTTGGCGCTTTGACTCAGCAAGAGCACTTAAACCAAAATCAGAAATTTTCAAGTTTTCATCCTCGTCTAGTAGTAAGTTTTCTGGTTTCAAATCCCGGTGATAGACACCCCTGCTATGGCAGAAATCTACAGCATTTATCAACTGTTGAAAATATTTTCGTGCAACATCCTCTTTAAGCCTTCCTCTGGCCACCTTGTTAAAGAGCTCACCTCCTTTAACATATTCCATCACAAAATAAATCTTGCTCTTTGTGGCCATGACTTCATAAAGGTGCACAATATTAGGATGTCGAACTAGTCTCATAACTGATATTTCCCGTTTGACCTGATTCACGAGCCCAACCCTCAAAACTTTTTCCTTATCAATGACTTTGATGGCAACACTCTGCCCAGTCCTGATACTCCTACCATAGTAAACCTTAGCAAATGTACCTTGTCCTAGTAATCTCCCCAATTCATATCGCTCCAACAGAATAGTTCCCGTATTGGCCATTCAAAATCTACGAAACCCAGTACTATTATAGTAAGCTATCCTCTCTTGGCTAGTACAATCTGTTCACCAGATATGTGCTGCTCAACCATCCTCGCATAAATCATCCATCAGTGTGACAGGCAATATACAAATATTCCACCTAGGTTTCATCTTGGCACATAAGGTGAAGCTGTGGTCACTGCGCCGAGGCTGAATCTTTTTGGGAATGAAAAAAGACAACTCTGCTAAGCTCAAAACCTTATGAAGAATAATTTCGGACTCCCAAACACTCAAACACATCTTTCAGCATATCCTAAAATCCTCTCTTTTGAAGAACCACAAAAATTGCTTAGTAGATGTGCAGGGAACCAAGTAGGTGAACTTCCACAATCCACTTAGAGGGTGATCGACAAAAATTTACTAAACTCACCAGCAAGTACCTGTGTCAGGTTGGAAGAAATGATTTTTAGTAGCTAAATCATGTTCTACACTTCCAATAGAATAGTATTCCTTAGCAAATGCGCAGCCAAACAAATGATGATTAACCATACATTCACAGCATTTTTCTTAAATCGAATATCATATTTCAGTTTTTCCAAGTCGATGAATTAAACTATCTATAGCTGTTAACAGCTGCTGCAAGGAAGAACTTAAGCAAGGTGCGATGAAACAAGCATGTGTTAGCTCTAAATCTGTGTTAGATATATGAAAAAGGTATGAAGAATACTCATAAATCTAAATGAAGCTTAGCAAGGAATTTTGTAAAAGTATTGAACCTTCTGAAGGGGAGCCTTGGAGCAACGGTCAAGTTGTCTCCATGTGACCCATAGGTCACGGGTTTGAGCTGTAGAATCAGCCAGATGCTTGCATTAGGGTAGACTATCTACATTACAACCCGTTGGGGTGCGACCCTTCCCGGACCCATGAATACTTTATGCACTGGGCTGCCTTCTTTTTTATTTGTATTGAACCTTCTAGAAATTCAACTGAACAGGGTGCACTAAGGAAGGAAAACTATGCCATAGAACATTGATGTCTCCTATCACTAAACCAATTTTCTATAATTTTCGGAATTAGCAATTCAAGTTACTTAACCAAAAAAAAAAAAAAAAACTACAGATACTAAATTAATATCAGAATGGAAATAACAAAAACAAAACAAAGAACAAAAGAAAACTAACAATTTGCTATAGATTCAAGAAAAGTGAACTCATCGATCAAACAGTTTAATAGATTTGGTTCTTCTACACACATATGAAACCAAACTCATCTCTATGATAAAAGGGTCAATTTCAATACTAACTCAGAAAAACTAAGATGAAAATAGCAAAGGGGGTGTTCGTTTATCTTGTCCAAACGAATTGACGAAACAAGAAACTTAAAAATAATTTTTATGTAAGCAAACACCACTAAGAAAGAAAAAAATAAAAAGAATAGTAGTTGTAGAAGGTGAAGTAAAACTACCTTAAAGAAGAGAAGCCCTAGAGTGCTTTTAGCTGTAGCGACCGTCTTTAGAAATGAGGATGTTCTAGAGTTTTCACCAAAAGAAGCAAGGGATGAATACGAGTCGCGACGTTGTATATGATTTGTGTAGGCAACTGTCATAAAACCACGGCGGGAGGAATATTCCACTACGATAATGTCTAGGTGAATATCCTGGTCGAATTTCTCAATTTTGACTCAAAACTCACGACAAACTTGAGATACTTCTGTGATCCCAAGTTGCGGGGTACCACATGCTAACGTGGTCGGTTTGGTGGTGATTGACACATGACAACTCCCCCCCCCCCCCCCCTTTTTTTTTTTTTTAAAAAAAGAAGTATAAATAAAAGTAGAAGATTGAAGCGCCTTCAACTTGCAAGTGTGGTTGTAACAACTATTTTCTCTTATCCTGTGGTATTTTTTACTTCCCATTTAAATTACGTACAATTTGATCGATATGTCACGATTCAAATTCCACCGAGATCCTAGTAATGCCTAGCCCAACCTGCTAGGCAAACTAACAGCAAAAACACAATTCAACTGAAGATTCATCAATAAATAATGAAATAAGAATACGAATCTTTATACAAACTATCCAAAGAACTGGTATTACAAGTCATGAGCAACTAAGATTTAGAGTCATAACATTACTATGAATAAAAATATATCATCTGTTTGAATATATATATAACCAGAAATATAAGTTCTAAACTACAATGAACAAAATGGTAGCTTGCAACAGGATCATTGGCACATCCTCCATGCTAGCCCTCGGCTCCTCCAACAGTTCAGCTCTAAAATCTACATGCGAGGTGCAAAAGTGAAGTATGAGTACAACCGACCCCATGTACCCAGTAAATATCAAGCCCAATAACAAAGTAGCGGCGAGGTATTAGTCAAAGATACTTACTTATATAACCTGTGCAGCTCATAAGCATATAAGATAATAGAGAAACAACCCAAAAATAACCAAGAAGACATCAGATATCAATAATAAGATGCACAGTCAAGTGGAAGATAACAAGCATGTTTTTTATCATAATAAGGCCAAAAGCATACACAAATACACCAAATTCGCATATAATGGAGATATGCATCAAGTAGCACTAACTCGAATACTCCTACATGAATGTAGAGTGTCTATGTATGATAAAGATACGATTTACATTAATTTCCAAATAAGAATTATATGAATGCTCCTTCATGAGTATAAAATGTCTATGTATGGTGAAGACTCAATATTTACATTAATCTGGCACCCTTCAAGTGTCCAACAATTCACTAAGAAGTCTCATGCATATGTATATTGCGTGAATGTACATATATAGATTATATGCATGAATATTTCTACATGAGTTTAGAAAGTTCTAATAAAGCCAATACAATGGTAGATAAGCCAAACTCACAATACCAAGTAGTACAAACAAGTCTAATAAAGTACAATATTACTGAAAGTAATACAACATTATGAAAATAAGGGAAGGGGTCTAAGGGTCTGCGGCGTCCATGCATGTCACGACCCAAAATCCTAACCCATAGGATCGTGATGGCACCTAACATACTTTCTAGGTAAGCCAACACATAACAATAAATAAGTAAAAAAAGGAACTAACAGTTAACATCAATCTGATATCATAGGATAAAGATAACTCAAAAACATACCATACGAGTCTAAAATCCGACACTGCCGGTCAACCATCCCAAGATGTGGATTCACGAGTACATGAGCTACTAGAGTTTGCTACATATATTGACTTAAAAGAAATATTATATTGTCTGGTAAAAAGAAATAGTACAGAAGAAATGGAAAGACGACTATAAGGCCTGCCAACGGTATGCAGCTCTACCTTGGGTCGCATGTCCGGTATTCGGTAAGCACCTCTCCGGACTCTGCTGGTACTAATATCTGAATTTGCACAGAAGTGCAGAAGTGTATTATAAGTACAAACGATCCAATATACTCCATAAGTATCGAGCCTAACCCCCATGAGGTAGTGACGAGGCTAAGACAAGGCACCTACATATTAACAAGTGCAGTTAAGTGACCAGAAATGATGAAATACGTAACGGCCCGGCCGGTAGTTTTGAGAGTTAGAGCCCCGTTCCCCTATTAAACGTTCCCCCTGTATCTATTTCTGCTACTGTGACTTGCCGGGAGGTTCATTTTGGTTTTTGGAAGTGTTTGGGATACTTAGTCCCTAAAACGGAGGCTTAAGACTTAGAATTTGGACCGAAGTCGGAGTTGTGTGAAGACGACTCCGGAATGGAGTTCTGTCGATTTTTGTTAGCTCCGTTGGGTGATTTTGGGCTTAGGGGCGTGTCCGGATTGTGTTTATAAGGTCCGTAGTTCATTTAGACTTAAAATGGTGAAAGTCGAATTTTGGAGTTTTTTGGCCGGTAGTAGAATTTTTTATATCGGGGTCAGAATCCGATTTCGAAAGTTGGAGTAAGTCTGTAGTATTGAATATCACCTGTGCGAAAAATTTGGGGTTAATCGGACGCGGTTTGGTTGATTTCGGCATCGGTTGTCGAATTTTGAAGTTTCAAGTTCATTAAGTTTGGACTGGAGGGTGATTTGTGTTTTTAGCATTGTTTGATGTAACTTGAGGGCTCGACTAAGTTCGTATGATGTTTTAGGATTGGTTGGTATTTTTGGTTGAGGTCCCGGGGGCCTCGGGTGAGTTTCGGGTGCTTAACAGATTGGTTTGAGACTTAGGAAAATGGCTCAAGTTTCTATATCTGGTGTAACCGCACCTGCGCACTCTGGGCCGCAGGTGCAGAGCCACAGAAGCGGTTATGGAATCGCAGTAGCGGATATGGGCCTTGTCCAGCTGGGTCCGCAGGTTCGGTGAGGGGTCCGCAGAAGCGGTTGGGGACCGCAGGAGCGGGCTCGCAGGTGCGGCCCAATGCTCACAGATGCGGTCCCAGCTCATTTAAGTTGTTTTCGCACCTGCGATGGTTTTTCCACAGGTGAGGGGCTGCAGATGCGTGTAAGTGACCGCATGTGCGGTTTAACTAGCAGAAAAAGGGCCAAATCGAGGGTTTATGTCATTCTTCACCATTTGATTTTGAGAGCTCGGATTTGGGCGATAATTTGAAGGATTTTTCAAGGAAGCTATTGGGTAACGATTCCTTACTCGATTTTGGCTATATTTCATTAATCTATTGTTGCTTTCTTCATTTAATCAAGGATTTCGAGTGAGAAAGTTGGAAATTGGGGGAAAAGTTTCCCAATCGAATTTCTGAGTTTTGAGTGGTAACTAGACCTCGGTTTTTAATACTTTTGGTACGAGTGAACTCATGAGTGAATGGGAGTACATAATTTGTGACTTTTACCCGATTCCGATACGTGGGCCCGAGGAGGCTTCTAGGGCGTTTTTTTAATTTCTTGCCTTAGCTTTGATTTCGTTAGCTAGATTAGTTTCATGTAGCTATATTTACGTTATGTAATTGGTTTTGGCTAAATTTAGGCCATCCGGAATCGGATATTCGTGAAAGAGCATTATTACGGACTAATTTGAGCTTGGTTCGATGTAAGTGGCTTGCCTAACCTTGTGGGGGGAGGGGACTCCCCTTAGGATTTGGTACTTTTTGATATATGAGCGCCGTGTACGTGAGGTGACGAGTGCGTCCACGGACTATTTGTTGAAAAACTTCATTTTCATTAAGCAAAAATATATGTTTTCCTTTAATTGAGCTACACTAGCATATGTAGTTATCCTGTTTAGTTTAGAAAAGCATGCCTACATGCCTTAACTGCCCTAACTGATTTAACTGCCTATCTGAACTCTGTGCAGCATGTTTTAGTGAAATTCCTGTTCTTCCTTGACTCGGACTTAGCCTGAATTGTGGTTTCCTTTCTGTAAATGTTGCTTCTGTTGGTTGTGTTGCATATTTACTTTAGAACTAAGGAACGGTATTTCGGGAGATCCCTCTGTACTGCATAGTTATTTTGGGACTATGGAACAGTATTCCGGGAGATCCCCCAGCACTGTGTATTTACTTTGGGACTACAGAACGTTATTCCGGGAGATCCCCTTGCACATTTATGTTTGGGACAACGGGACGGTATCCTAGGAGATCCCCTGTTGTTATTTATGCATTTTGAGCTGTTGTCTTTCATTGATTCTATACCTATTAGATTTCTGTATTTATTTTTGCTGTAATATTTCATTCTGTCTCATTTATTATGTTTATACCAATAGGGCCCTGACCTGATCTCGCCACTACTCGACTGAGGTTAGGTTTGGCACTTACTAGGTACCATTGTGGTGTACTCATGCCCTTTTATGCAAATGCTTTTCGTGTACAGATCCAGGTACCGCACATCAGTCTCATTACCAGTGAGACGAGATGGCTGTAGAGACTTCAAGGTATATCTACCGTGTCAACAGACCTAGGAGTCCCTATCCACTCTTCCTCATGTTAAACACTTCTTGTATTTTCTTCTTTGTTAGATTCTGGAGTTTAGAAGCACTATTTTCTTTCTGTAGCTTGTGAATTATGACATTCCGGGTTTTGGGAGAGTTTAAGTACTTTTCGAAAGTGATTATTGTAAATGCCTAGCGGCATCTCATTTCCTTATTTAAATTTACCTGTTAGTTGATAGCTTTTATGTTTTTCGTTCCTTTTTCCGCAAATGTTAGGCTTACCTAGTCGTAGGTCTAGGTGCCTTCACGACGGTTCACAGAGGGGGAACTCGGGTCTTTACAAGTTGGTATTAGAGCTCTAGGTTCATAGGAGTCGTGAGTCACAAGACGGTTTATTAGAGTCTCGCAGATCGGTACTGAGACGTCTGTACTTATCTTCGGGAGGCTATGGAACTGTTAGGAAAATTTCACTTCATTTGATTCCTTGTCATGCGAGACATTTTTTTGACTTCGAAATTCTAAACTTCTGTTTTCTATTCTCTCACAG